GGATGATGAGAAAGTTCTACAAATGATGATGGTTGATATATGACATAAACCATATATATGATATACCATATATATTTCTTAAACTGACTAAAATGGCAATGTTTTTAATATATTTTACCGTACTATTTTATACAATACGTGAATATATAACACATACCCATATATAGTAGCAGGTACTAATAGGTGTGCCAGGTTTATTCGTTAGTAAAAAGATTGGCCTTTACATATTAACCTCCTAGCACATGAGATTCACATCTGAGTCTCAGCAAAAGGACAGTTTCTTTCAAGGTTCTCATGAGGTATCCAAACTATGAAAATAAGGTCTGCAAAGGCATTTGAGTTTTTAATGGAGATTGTCTCTTAATCCAAGAGTGTTTCTTCTTTGTCAGACCACTAGACACAGGAAATAGCTATTTTAAATTACTTTGTGTGAAGGAAAGATTTTCAAAGCTTGGTACCAAAAGTAAAAATCACAAAGGCAAAGAATGTCAGGCTTAACCACATAGAAACCCAAAACCTCTCTGTGGCAAAGAATTCTATCCCTAAATCAAATGGTAAATTAGTTGACAAAAGGTTGCAATCTCTAATTCAGGGTTTCTCACGGTGTGGTCTACATACCACTGGTGCTATGGGAGAGAATTTTTGATGGTGCAGGGACAGGGAACTGAATCTTAAATGGTATGAATTTAGACACTACAGCAGGAAGCTCTTCATGTCACACCATGCAAGTGGTTACCTCCTCAGAAGCTAGGTCCAGGAATATACAACAGACCTGGAATCATTATTTTTTCTCTTGTATTTCAGGGAAGGGTCTACAGGGTGTTCAGGGTCTCACTACCAGATCAAACTAGTAGTTATCTGCCTGTTTACAGCCTCCCAAGAGCTGGAATTATAGGCACGCACCACCACGCTCAGTCTCTGGAATCATTAGTTCTAAGACTCAATTAAAGCTGAAATATTTTTATGTAAAATTTTCTTGAAAACTTGATTTCTGAATCTATATACTTCCTTTGTGTTACTATATATCAGCCCAATAGAGAATGGTAAATGAATTAGCACACATGGGCAATCAGATATATTTGCTATTATTACTATTTCTGAATATCTATGTGTGGAAATCACTGGGTGCTAGGTCAGATGCTTAAAGGCAGAATACTAGGGCTTCTGGAGCTGAAGGGCATGCATGAGTCAAAATATTTCAGACACACTGGGCAGGCATGCTCTGGAGCCAAGGGCAAAAGAGTTGACATAGAAGTTTTGGGTAAAATCTTAGAAATAAATATGAATAAATAAAATAAATAAATATGAGGTTATAGCAATCACAACAGAATACTGCCAACACTTCCATCCCTGCTTGCTATATCTACCTTACAGATTAGAGGACTGAAGACCTTCAAATGTCAATTTGTGAAGTTTTTTATATATAGTCCAGTGTATTCTATCTCCCACCTAAATTTTCCAGTCCTAGAAGCTTATTCAAATGCAAGGTAGAGTCCCCTAATAATAGGGTGACTATTCCAAGTTCCCTGGGACTGTCCCAGTTTGACTACCAAAACTCCTGTGTCCCAGGGCTAAGATAGGTGATTACCCTACATAATAAAGATATTTTGACCAGTTAGAAAGGCTCTGGGCTCACATGTCTGTTTTACAGACAATATTTAGTATTATAACAATTTCTTTAGCATTTAGTTCCTTTTTAAAATCTTATTTTTGAGACAGGGTGTCACTATACAGCTCAGGCTGGCCTTAAGCTCACTTTGTAGCCCACTGGTCTTGAACTCATAATAATCCTCTTGCCTCAGCCTCCCAAGTGTTGGGATTACAGAAGTGTACCACCATGCCTGGGTTTTCAGTGTTTTAAACAATTTTTGTTCATAATCAATACACCCCAGAATCCATGACCTCATTTGGAGTCTTGGGTCTACTCTTCACTGTGAAGCACTGGTAAAGTTAATTTTTCCAAGCCTCAGTTTCTTTCTTTATAAAACGAAAATGGTTGATAATACTAGTTTATCAGGTTGCTATAAATTTAAATGAGAGTATAAAGATATCAATGTATAATAAATGCCAGCTATTAAGCCTTTGTATTTATTAGTTACATAAAATTGAAGGGGTAGTATTTAAAACACATCTCTTCCTCCAAATAGTTTAGAGGCACCATTCACAAACCAACAGGCTGTATCCTCATTACCATACATAGTAGCATTGTCCAGCAAGACTTCTATCAGCCTGAGTTACTGCGTGTGATTATAACTTAAAAAAAAAGAATAGTTACACTTAAACCCAAACACATTCCTCTTCTCAAATTTCCTACACTCTTGTACTTCAAGGAAACCATGAGCTAAGATGGGAGCCAAGGATAGGTCAAATCAGACAAAACAGATATAAATGAAGAATGTGTCCTGCCCTCTTCCCAACAGTATGGGTGCCCCAAAAGCAGCGGAATGTGCTGCAGAAGGAGGCGTGGGGACAGTAACTTTCCCAGCATAGGTGGTGGCATTGAAAGTCCACAAAGGAAAAAGACATTCTAACAGAAGCCTGAAATGCCTAATCATGAGATGGAATGAGAATAAACACGATAGCTAAAATACGAAGATAGAAATCCAGGGAATTAAATCAAGAGAGGAAATGTTCACTTAGAAGAAAGCTATCCAGTCCAAACACTGGAGAAATTCAATGACCAGCAATAAAGGTTGCCTAGTGTGCTAATGAGCATGCCATTCTGGGTGAAGTCTAAACTGAATTTAGAACCTCTGATCTGTAAGGTCCCAGTTGTCAAGGAAAATGAGAGAACGATTTGTACTAGCAAAACTAATAAGATTGCTACTACAGAACCCTGTCACTCACACCTAAACTTCAAGGAAGCCTGACAGCCTCTTGATTTGTTCCTTAGTGATTTAGGACACTGAGTTGCTCTGATCTCAGGAGGCAGGGTACTCAAGTGTACCGAATAGCTCACTTTCCTTCCTCAACCATTGCCTTCAATACCTCCCATCCCAATTCTCTAGGATTTTCAGGCTTTGTCAAGAACCGAGTATCAATAAAGCAGTGTCAATACAGTGGATGACAAAAGAAGTCTCTATTCAAGAAACCCAACCAAGACAATCATAGGTATAGCACAGGTGAATACTTCAATTTCAGGCTCCCATCTTCACACCTTGCTCAGTCAGATCTAACACACCTAGGCCCAGATCTAGAGCCAGAGGAAGCATTCTCCTCTCATACTTCACCTCCCTTCCTCCCCTGCCCAGGGTGAGGGAAGTTTCTCTTCTAGTTGAAAGAATGCAAATTATATGGGCCATTTTCCCAGGCACATCCCAAATCTCCAACCCCTAACCCCACACCAGAATCCAAATCATTAGGATCATGTTCGGGATTTCACTCTGCAGGGTTTCAGCTTCTATGGGCTGAATATACTTGTAATCTTTCAAGTATATTTTTTAAATATATATTTTGAGGATTTTCTTGAAATCTATTCTTTCCATGGTTTGCTTTATTTTAGACAACGAGATAATTTGATACCTAAAGTGAAGTAATAGATGGGAAAGGGTCTTAATGGCATTGAAAATGCCTGAGAAATACAGCTTGTTCTGATAACACTAACAAAGTCAGGAGCCTTGCTGATTCCTGCCTGGAACTACTGTGGCTAAGGTGAGGGTAAGGCAGTGGTGGATTCATCTTGGGACAAGGGAGGCAAACCAGGCCTTAGCAGTGAGGGTAGCTCCTGCGTTTCTAAACTGCTTTTGGATATTTTTGTTTGAGGCTTAGGGCTTAGGGCCACCCAGGTAGTCTGTGAATGCTCACGATTTCTTATTGCTTTAGGAATACTCCCTGTCCATGACAAAGAACCTCAGCTCCAAGAAGCCTTAGAGAGATCAGAGAGGTCAGACAATTTTCTTAGCCTCACATGTAAAGGGAGGGACATAACTTGTACTACCATGTAGGTTTGTCATGGCCTAAATGTCTTTGTTGTACATAACTGTGTCATTGAGCATATACTTGCTTTTATTCTAAAAACACTTTGTGTGCGTGCATGCATACGTGCATGCGTGCGTGCGCACGCACATGCACACACACACCCCACTGATTTCCACAGTAAACTTTCCTGAAGTGTCCCCTTCCCTACTTTACACTGCCTTAGTTGTTGTTCTCACCAAAGTCTCTCAGACTGGGGGACAGAAGCCAATTTGTGTCCCCAAAGGGGACAGCAGCAACTTTGGATGTGCCACTGTGTTTCTCTCTTCCTTGCTCCCTTTCTTGCCTCCCCACAAAGATTTCTAGTGAGTTTGACCTACACGGGAACAGATACCTGCATGGGTGAAATGAATTCACTCATTCACCTGCCATATGCAGCTCTTGAGGTATATAAGAAATCCTAGTTACTTTGTAGAGTTGTATTTTGCTTACATTCAAAATCAAAGGCTTTGATCTATGGAGGGAGTGGGGTCCTCCCTTTCTAGACTCACAAAATTCTCAAAAGTCTCTATTTTTGTTTCCCTCCTTGTACCTTCCAAGACCAGCAGCAACCTAAATTGTCCTGACATTTTGCTTGTTCTGTCAGTCAGGGCCACTAAGTCATTTAAAAGCCCTGGTAGTTTCATTTGGAATCTGGACACTTAGAAGTGAACTTCTCAGTAGGGTGGAACTCAGATTAAAGATTGGACATCATAGCAGAATGGACTGAGGGGCTGTGCATTTGAGAAGAGGGGTACCCATAGCTACTTGTAAACTATAGAGGGTCTGCCCACCTCTTGGCTCCAGAGTTCTTATGAAACTCCAGAGTTCATAGGCGACCTTCCAAACACGCTCACACCTGCTAGGCCTCCCCTGAGCTGTGCAAATCTCCAGGTAACCAAAGGTCCAGTTAGAGCAGCCTGTGAACCTGACCTCCCCAGTGCCCCTGGTGAACTTCCTGCTTTCCCCCTTTTGCTAGAAGGAAGGGTCTAGCAGGGGAAGGTGTATGCAGAAATGCACAAATAACCATGTGCCCAACTACCTACCTGTGGAAGAAGAGCAGGATGGAGAGCATGGTTTGGTCGATTTTGCGACTGCAAATCCCCTCGTTGATCAAGTAGCAGGGGTCGCGCAGCACAGGCTCTAGCGAATCTTGCCGCATTATGTTGTTTAGCTTGTCAGCATTGAGGTTCTCAAAGATCAACTTCTCTTGCAGCTGCTTAAAGTTGCTCACGGTAGGGCTGCCCGCGTTGTTGTTTTCCGGGCTGTTGCCCTGCTGCAGCCCGCTCCGGTTGGCCAGGTCCAGGCAGCAGTTGCAGCAGTCAAGGCCGACAGGTGAGCGGCAGTCGATCTTGGACTGGGCCATTTTCTCAGACTTAGGTGTTGCCAGGCCTTCGAGGTCAGAGAAGGCAGACAGGTGTGTGCCCGCGGGGCTAGTCTGAGGGGACGCCAGGGTGTCTGGAAAAGACAAGTTGAAAGGACAAGAGTTGGAAATTTGCGTCTAAAACTAGCCGCCCTGAGCCTCGGTTCGGCTCCCTTCTGGTTGTACTGCTCAGGGTGCGAATAGAAACAGCTGGACAAACAGCTCTGAGAGGAACCTTTTGGTTCCCCCTGCCCCGCCCCCGGCCACGGCTGCCCCGCCGAGGTGCCACACACGGCTCCCGCGCTGCCCTAAGTTTTCCAAGTGTGAGCTGGGCTGGGGCGGACCTGGGGTTGCGAGCTGGGCGGGTGGCGGGGCTGAGGGAGGCTGAGGCGCGCCCTCGCTCACGGCTCCCTCCTTGCGCCCTCCCTCCCTCCCTCCCTCCCTCTCTCCCTCCTCCCTCCCGGCTCTCGGGCTCTCCCGGCTGTGCCGGCAGAGGCGCGGCGGGAGCCCGGAGCTAGAGCGCTAGCCGCGCCTCCCGTCAGCCCGGGCCTTGACAGCGCGTAAATTAGTTTAGGGGCGGCAGAGGACGCCTTTTCCCTGGCAGGCGCGGGCTGGGCTCCTCCACGCTGCGTCCCCGCTCCCGCTCCCGCTCCCGCGCCCCCGCAGCCGCCCGCACCTTCGCCTGCGCTGCCACCGAGCCCTCCCGCCGGCTTCCCCTGCTTCGCGCCCGGCGCCTCAGGTCCGCCTTTCTCCGCGTTCAGGGCGCATCCTCTCCACAGAAACTGCCGAGCGGCCGCCGCCAAGCGCAGCGCCTCCTCACCCCGGCCAGCCGCGCGGGTCTCCTCTGAGGGACGGGAACGCCCTTGGGCCGCGGCAGAGGAGCCCCCTCTGGAGGCGCGCCGACAGCGCGAGCGGGCGCGCGGGCTCGGAACCTCCGCCCCTGACAGGAGACTTGGGGTGCAGAGAGCGGTCCCCATGTGAGCTGTCAGGCGAACAGCACGCGTGGCCAATAAGTACCTTAAGCAAAGTTCACAGAAGCACGCGAATTTACCTCAGTTTCTGTCTCTTTCTCCTCACTTCTACGCTCCTTTTCCCACCTGACCGCTCTTCTCTCCCCTAAACCGCCTTTGGGGGATCGCTGTCCCGGTCTCCCGGATTGCTCCCCAGCAGGCTTACCCGCTGCTCTGCCCCTTCCTGCTTTCTGTGCTTCTACTTTGCCACTATTTATGTTTCCTCTTTTCCTTTTTACTTCGTTAGTCATTGCCTCTATTTTCTCCATTTCCCTTTTCCCCTTTCTCTCCCTATTTCTTTTCTCGACCTTTTCTTTATTTCTGCACTCCCTCCCCCTTTTTCTCGTCCTTTCGTGTTCTTTCGTGCCCCTTCATTTTTATTTTATTTCCCCCCTTACTTCCCGCACCACAGCACTCCTTCTTTCTCCTCACTTATTTTTCTTTACCTTTTAAAACTTGTTCCTCGTCTTTTCACACCACTACCTGTCCCGTTAGGTGAACTGTAAAGTCTTTACCTTTGGTGAAACGAGGTGATTCTCTGTCCATTGGTCTGAGGCTCGGCTCGAGCAGAAACAATATTTCGTTCTGAAGCCCCTGGCGGAGGGATCTGAAAGGAAGAATCTGGAACAGAGGTAAAGGGCGCACGAGGCTCAAGGGTAGTCTCCTGCGGTAGGTGGCTCTTACCCCAGGTTTGGAAGATGTGGGGACATGTTTGGGGGACAAAGTGATAGGCTTCTACGGTGCCCCAGAACGTGGAGACTTGGTTTACGTTGAATATGTAAGATTTAATAATAATTGGTTCCTGGAAAAATAAAAATACTTACAATGTTCACTTTTCTTATAAAACAAATAGATTTCAATTTCAGCATTCCCCCCACCCCTCCCTCGCTTTAGACCTTGGTCCTCAGAATTTGTACTCTGGTATACTGCCATCTTGTGGCCAAGACGTGAAAGTGGTCTCTGTTGCGTCACACAGTTCCAAGCAGGGAGAAACCAGAGGTGCTTCCTCCTGGAATGCACAGTTGCAGTGGTTTTCAGAGCACAGAGGAGAAGGAGCTATTCTACTAATAAATCCCGATTGCCAAGTTGTAGGTGGAGATGTTAGTGAAGAACAGAGCAGCCCTTTTGCTAGCAGAACTCCACTTGCCCAAATCCCTGAAGATTGGATTTCATAGAATTAAAATTTCCTCCAGGTGCTACAAGCCAGACCAGTGACAAACAACAGTGGCCACTAATTCCTATTCCCAAGGAAGGCCCTGAGGGTTTTGTATGGGGACCTCAAATTTGGGAAGCTGAGAAGGCATTACTCTACTATAGTGGCCAGAAAACCCAAACCAAGCTGTATCTCTCGCTCCTGACAGGATCCTGAGGGCAGGATTAAAAAGAGGACTGACAGAGACTGAGTATAGTTTCAATGTTCTCAAAGACTGCTGGGGGCCAGGGACATAACTCAGCGGCCTACCTGGCAAGCACAAGGTCCTGAGTTTGGTCTCCACTACCAAAAAATATAAAGTAAAAAAAGACATTTTGGGACTGGACATGGTGGTGCACACCTGTAATCCCAACACTCAAGGGACTGAGACAGGAAAATTGTTGCGAGTTTGAGGCCAGCTTGGGCTACAAAGTAAGTTTAAGGCCAGCTGTATAGTGAATTCTGTCTCAAAAAGAAAAAAAAATACCTGCTACGAAGTCCCTGTCTTCTCTCAAAACCCAGTCCTAGGGCCAGTGAGATAGCTCTGTGGACTAAGCGCCTACTTAGGCAAGTGCAGGGACTGGGGTTCAATCCCCAGTCGCACTGCCAAGCCCACCCTGGTCCTGGGCTCCTTGAGCCAGCAACCTAGTCTGGGCATGGTGGAGCTGTGTAGTGAGACTCTGTACCAAATGCAGAAATTAAAAAACAAACAAACAAACAAAACAGTCCTTTAGATGTGTTATTCTCTCACTTTTTCTCTTTTTTGTCTTTAAAAAAATGTTCTTGAGTAAAAGCCAGAGAAGGTAGTATAATAGAAAGTATCATTTGCCTTGTGTAGACTTATAGCCTACTCAATTGTTTCCAAATTACAGTGTTTAAGATTTTTCTTCTTGTTTTAATTATTTTATAACAAAATATACTAGATCCATAAATGTTTGTTTAAGTTGTGATTTTTAGAACTGTCAGGCTTTTTGCTTCTGTATTTGCCTGAGTCCTCTTATCTTTGTGCATGACCTTGGGATGAGGCCCTGGTGGAAGCATTTCCTTCTTGGCATTTGGCACCATTAAATTCAGGATTTTGTCCCCTTGACATTTCCCTTGCTGTAATCCTTGCTTTCAAGCAGTATTGTTAATAATTCAATGCAGTGTTGCATACCATATACACACTGATCAAGAGCAAATATAATTGAGGCATAGAAAAACTTACCTAGGCCAGAGATTGAGTTCAGAGGATGTCCATGTGTTTGCGGACACATCCAGCTTGTATTGACATACTGCATACCTCTGTGAGGGAAGACTAAGTGGGTGGGGCCATGTTGGCTTTCTGTGAAGCTTTGCTTTGTGAAAATATATTGTGTTGGATGGAGAGACTCCAAGCAGCAAAATGTTCTGCATAAATTGAGAGGGCAGGGACCAAGGCCCACTACCAGATCAAGCTGGAGGCTTTTTGAGTGAACTAGAAGGGGAGTGGAAGGAGCACCTCCACAGATGGTTGACAGCCCCTTACTGTGCATTTGTCACATTCTATGTACAGTGTGAATGAAGATTCAGAAGTAAATGGGACTTGATCTAAGCCTGAAAAGAGCTCATTGTTTTACTTGGAAAAAGGGACACATAGACAGAAAAAAACAGTATCAATGATCAGTTTTCAGTGATGATAGAGGCCTGGTGTGTATTAAGGAGGCATCACATGTTTTGAAGTATGTGGAGAAGGGTTTGCTCTGGAAGGAGGGAAGGGACTCTGCAGAGGATCCTTGACTGACTCTCAGTGGTGTTGCACCCTAATGAACCCACCATAAGTTGAAAATATGAATGATCAGTCAAAAATGTATTTGCTGCATTTAACTTACTGGTCTTTTTTTTTTTTTTTTTTTTTTTTTGCAGAGCTGGGGATTGAACTCAAGCCCTTGTGCTTGTCAGGGAAGCGCTTATTCCATTGAGCCATCTCCCTGGCCCCTGGTCCTTGTAACTTAATCACTCATGACATCAGTGGTGGTGAGCTTACAGCATGTGTGCTGCAGCAAGCTCATTGAACAGTTCTAACAGGTTCCTCAGTATTGCACTATGCTGTTGAGTATCACCTGTTTACTTTCCTAGTCTCATAGGAGGGTAACATCACGAGAGTACTAGGCCATGTATTACTATCCCAGGAAAAGATTAAAATTCCAAATTTGAGGTATGGTTTCTGCTGTGTCTGTTGGGGGACTGTTACGGATCACAAGAGAGTTTCATACTACTGAAGAATAAAATGTGCAATAGAGAACTGAGAATTGAGCCTGGAAGGAGATCCAGGGCCCTGATCTTTAGGGACTCAGGGTAAAACATTACACAATCTCCCCATTTCACTAATTTGTCTTGAATTTCCTAATTATTAAGAAAAAGAAGAGGTATCACTTACTGAATCCCTTTTATGTGCCAATGCCTTACATACCTTATGTCATTGATTCCTCATAGAAACCTTATGATATAAATATTAGCATTCCAGTGATGATATGAGCTTGAAAAAGTTAAAGAAGCTCTTGAGTCACAATAAGTAGTAAGTAGTGGAGTTTAGATTTGGACCTGTATCTTTCTGGCTTCAGATTCTGTGCTTTTACCCATTAGGTAAAAGCCTAATTCTAACCCCTGTGTCTAGCATATGCAATCAGTGAAATCCCAAACTGCATGCAACTGAATCAGATATTACATGTTCTTGTGTGGCTTGGAGGGTAAAACAAAATGACTGCCAGTAATGTTACTTCAACTTACCTGCATGTGTGTATCTGTGCAGACAGGCATTTATTATTATTAAGCAAATGTGTCCATTTTCATATTTATTTTTTTTTCAGTACCAGGGACTGAATTCAGGACCCTGTGCTTGCCAGGCGAATGCTTATTCTACTAAGCTATCTCCCCAGGCCCTCTTATTTAAAATTTTTTTTTCATTCTGTAATTGTTTATTTTTCATTAATTAATATAATCATTTCATTCAGTATTTATTATGTGTCTGGTGACTCTAGGAATAAGTCATACAAAAATAATTAAGAAAATTTCTGCTCACCAGGAGCTCACAAATTGTATTATGCAGTTATATAGCTAAATATAACATGTTTTTCTAAACTTAATTCAGCTGTAATAAAAAAATGAAGTAAACTGAAACTTGAACTTATGAGTTTGCCACTTTTCTAACTGTAAAAGTATTAGTATATGGTTCTGTGGGTTGCATCATATTGCCCTCTGCTGTCTCAGTAACTAACTAAGGAGAACTTAGATTTAAGGATCAGGAGATGGAGAACCTGCTCCAGTAACTGCAGTTCTCTTTCTTTAAGGAGTTCTATTAGATAGAGATCAAAACATACTGTTATGTTAACATACTCAGGATCACCATAGCACACTGCGTGAGATAAGAGCAGAGCAGGTATAATTTCGGAAGAAATACAAATAAGCTGGTCCAACTTTCTAAAATAAGGTGGCTATTAGAGTGTGGTCAGTGATCCCTACTTTGTGTATATTGGTATCACTTGTACCAAATGTAAAATCTAGTCCCCTATTCTCAGTTGTAATTACCTTGGATGTTGCTTGGGCTTGAGATTTCTAAAAGATTCTCATGTAGGACGAGCTGGGAGCTATGTCTAAGCAATAGCATAAGCC